ACAAATTTCTCCAACTCACACTGACATAAAACTGAGTTTAAATCCCCAAGGTCCTAAAATGGATGGCATTGTCAATTACATGTACTACTAAGCACTTGTTATACTAATAATAGTTAAGTTGCTAGCAATAAATCAGCTTTCACATTAGTAATGACTGAAACAACACAACTCAGGTTACCAGATTTGTCAAAAATCAAATAAGACTCATTTAGTAAGAAAGAAGGATTTTGAGAATTTTAGCATCAGAAATAATCCAGAAAGATCAAATATAGCTCATAACCTGCAGGCAGGTAAAAGAAAGGCTCTAAACTATTCAGAATAGATGACTTCTATCTAATTATTTGAATGCATGTCATTAGTAGTTATCCATGATTAATTTTTCACAAATTTATTCACTAAACAAACATTTGTTAAGGACCAACTCAAGGGACCATGTAACTGGTTGCTGAGAGTACAAACATGGAAAAGCTACAGTTCCTCATGTTTACATTTTATTTTTAACATTTTAAATCTCCACAAGAAAATCTTAGTAGATAAATGACATAATTTTAGGAATTTAGATGTCATATACCTTAAATTTTTTTAAGAATGATTTTTTTAAGTTGTTGATGGACCTTTATTTTATTTATTTATATGTGGTGCTGAGGATCGAACCCAGGTCCTCACGCATTCCAGGCAAGCACGTTACTGCTGAGCCACAACCCCAGCTCCCATATACCTTACATTTAAAAGAAAACATGTTCACAAGGTCCACAAGGTTATTGATGACTAGACCATACTATAATATCATTAGGAACCCACCCATTCCTTGACCATGTTCTTCAGGCATCTTCCCATTACCTCCTTTTTAATTTTTATTGTTTTAATTTTTATATATACATGTCAGTAGAATGTATTCTGACAAATTATACATACGTGGAGTATAACTTATTCTACTTAGGACCCCATTCTTGTGGGTGTTCATGATGGGGAGTTCCACTGGTCATATATTCATATATGAACACAGGAAAGTAATGTCCAGTTCATTCCACTGTCTTCTCTGTTCCCATCCCCCTCCCTTCCCTTCATTCCCCTTCAACTAATCCAATGAACTTCTATTCTATCCTCCCCTCTCCCTTATTGTGGTTTAGCATCTGCATATTGGAGAGGACATTCAGCCTTTGTTTTTTGGAATTGGCTTATTTCACTTAGCATGATGGTCTCCATATACATCCACATTATCTCTTTAGTTGCAATTCTGTTTCTCTAACAAACATCAATATGACTATCCTATACTTCAACTCTGCCTCTCAAATAATTCTTCCAAAGCCCTTATTGTTGGAATATTTTCTACCAATGTCTCTTCATATTTAACTAAAATCACTCTTGCATGTGTTACAATATGAATTTCATCTCTACCATTCTATTAAAATTGCCCTAGAACTGCATTCTAAAACAACACTAATTTGAATGAAATATCTCTAGAACTATAGGTACATTTACTATTACCTTCCCGCAGAACAGTATGTGGCACAACTAGATTCTCAATAAACACTGGGTAAATTGATTATCTCATAAATAATAAAGTGGTAGTATTCATCACATATTTTTTTTATTAAATACAACTTCAAACTGTCAGTTGACTACAGATAAGAGACTACATGTTTATAAAACTAATTTTTCCTTTATTCATTCTGCACCCATATTTAAGTACTATGTCCAAAAATATATTTTAAGGTCTTATAGAATTATGGAATAGTGTACTTTATTTCTTTGAAGAATGCTGGGAATTGAACCCAGGACCTTCTGTGCACTAAGCAAATTCTCTACCACTAAGCCACATCCCCAGCCCCCCTACACTTTCTTAGAAAGGGAGAAATTCTTCTCCTTCCTCTGGAATTAGCTTTCCAACTTCACCAAGTAAAAGGCATCAATGGGTGCTCAAAACACTGTCCAAATGGTGAGCCCATTATATCCTAATTGGGCATCTACTGCTGCTAACCCCTTCAGAGCAGGATCTAGACTGGTTCCTGATGCAACAGTCTCTGAGTCCACTTGTTTTCTTCATCTTGCAGATGTGGAAAATAAAGCTCAGAAGACTTAAGAAAATCTGTTGTATACTACATAGAATAAGCTTCAGAATCACAAAGACTGGGATTTGAACCTCAGTCAAGATACTTAAAACTTGAGACTGGGGCTGTGGCTCAGCGGTAGCACACTTGCCTGGCATGTGTGAGGCACTGGGTTTCATTCTCAGCACCACATATAAATAAATAAATAAATAAATAAATAAATAATAAAGGTCTATTAACAACTAAAAAAAAAGATACTTAATCTCAGTATCTCAGTATCAAAGCAGGAATAAATCATATGACAAACGTGTAAACCCCTGGTGTAAGGTTTAGTTAATGATGGTAAGCTAGTAGACATGGTAGGTGGGTTGTTCAGAATTTAAAGAAATTGGTAAAAAAATGAGACAATTATTTATTTAGTGTTGTAGGCTTGACCTTTGCCAAAGTGAACATTTAAAATCAGTCAGTCTGAGAGAGTGCAAAGGACCTAGATGGAAAAAAAATCAACAGCTACCCTAGGGACAGAACCAGAGCTGATGTAACATCGTCCTCCGAGAGAAGAGCAAAACTCATCCAGATATTAGTAACGTCAGTTAATTAAATAGCCAAAGTTTTATATTATAAACATAAAGGTATAGTGCTTCAAGGTGACACAAACAAGATAGAGAAAAACAGTGTTTTTCAAGTCTTTGGGCAGTACCTTTCCCAGATATTTTTAAAGGAAAATTAATTTTAACATAAGTAAATAACTCTGGAAAACAGGAAACTTTAAACAGCTGAGTACTCATTCATGAGAAAAAAGACAGAAATTTAAATGTCCCTGATCTTTTTTTTAACCCATAAAAGATATCTTAGCACAGCACAGTGATTAAAATAGGATTCTAAGCCAGAAGGCCTGGATAATACTTTGCACCTCTTACTCACTGAGCAAGTTACTTGAACAATTTTTTTTTTATGATGCAGTTTTATTTAAAATCCATATTGGAATTTTGTTCTATTTTCAAAGCAGTGAAGTGAGTTGGCTGAGTAGTGGACAAAATAGGAGTATTTGAACAATTTTTACTTCAGTTTTCTCATGTAGAAAGTACTGTCAATAATAGAATCTGTCTTGTAAAGTTGTTTTGTAGGTTGAAATGAGTTAACATTTATAAAGTACTCACAACACTGTCTGGTCAAGAGTAAATACCAAGTGCTTTTGAAATGAATCACCTGAGCTCATCTCGTTCAATACGGAAACAGGAATCCAATAAGCCTCCTCCCATTATTTTACAATGACTAAAACATTTTTCAATAATTGAGTTGCTGTGTATTTATTCTGACCCCATCAAGTTCCTTACGTAAATGCTTACAAAATGAGAAACTCTGGAGACGGAACAAGAAAAACAAAAGGCAAATGGTTCACTTGTTTTCTTTCTCCAGAAGGATCTATACATGAAAGCTATAGACAGAGTATGTTGAAATGTTTTGGCAAGTGGCACAGTCCTCTATGCTGGTTTCTGTCACATTGGATAGCAATATGGACCAGAAATCTCAAAACCACCACACAAGGCTAAGATACCACGAGTCTGTAACTTTTTATTTTACTTATTTTTGTGGTGCTGGGGATAGAACCCAGAGCCTTGCACATGCCAGGCAAGTGCTCTACCAGTCCCTTCATTTATTTATTTATTTATTTATCTGTTTGTTTATTCTTTAGTTGTAGTTGGATACAATACCTTTATTTTATTTATTTATTTTTATGTGGTGCTGAGGATGGAACCCAGTGCCTCATGTTGCTAGGCAAGCACTCTACCACTGAGCCACAACCCCAGCCCCTAATTTTTATTATAATATCAGAGAGGAAACACATTGGTAACTTGTGTGGTATGTGCATAGCCCTGCCTTCGGATGACACAAATGTACACAAGACAGCCTCTTCCATCAATAAGCTTATACTCTGGTTGGGAGATAATCTCACACCCTAAAACTATTAGAGATGACATGATTGATTAAGCTCTGAATCTCGTCTGTTTAATAACCAAGAACTCCTAGAATTACAAAATGCCAACCTATGCCATCTCAGAGTACTCTCTTCCACAAAGGTTATATTTCTTGTAAATTACAATGACTGTATCTATGCAAACAAAAGAAATAATCTCTATAGGGTTCTTGTTTTCTTTTATCATAAATGTGTTATATCAAGATACAACAGTGTTATATCTACCAAGATCTCCCAAATGCAAAGTGCTGCATTGACAGCAGCAGATCTAGAAAATGCAGGAATGAACAAGAAAAAGATTGACCCACACACTTTTATTATGCATAAGGATCTAGGCTTTTTATTAGCAGTGGAGCTATTCAGTTATGAACACAAACAGACCTGAAGCTAAGATGTATTCTCCCACATTTTTGCTTTGATATGCAAACCTGAGTCACAGACTCAATGTCAACAGTGATGATCTACAGACCAGCTCCCTCGCTCCTCAGAAGAGAGGACAGGAGTACAGAGGATAAATGGCTTGGTCACAATGACAAAAAGAGTTAGTGACAGAGCCAGCACAAGAGCCCAATTCTGATAATCAGAGCTAAATACTTTGCTCTAAACCTTGGAGAAAGTTTTAATCTCAATCTCAATCCCCTTCCCAATCTTAATCCCTCTCCTCATCCTTCTTTCTTCCTCCCTTTCCATCTCTTTCTTCTTTCCCTTTGCAGTTAAACTCTTGATTTTCATGGCATGAGAATATGTATGGTCATAAAAACCAAAACCACTGTCTTTGCTTTGAAAGCATTCTATTTATTTGAATGAGAAGTTATAAACGCTTTCAAATTTTCAGAAGAAATAAAGTAATGGCCTCCTTTTCCAAAACAAACTATAAAACTGCAGGAAATCTGCTAAGGAAGTTAATAATCTTTAGTATTTGATGCAAATTAGCTTTTATAGCAACCAAGGATCAAAGTCCAAAAGAAAGCCGAAGTTAGTATGAGTGACAGAAGCTGGCAGCTAGCTGGTAGAAGAGAAACCACTACAGGATTTTCCGGAGACAAGGAAAGACACAGCTACATGTCTAGGTATGTACATTACACTTGCAGAAACCAGTGGGGGTGGGGCAGGTGGAGGGTGTACTTGGGATATCTGTGTGTTGTTGTTGTGTGAAGGTGGAATCTTAAGTCTGTTGGCTAAAAAGGAGCCAAACCTATTGATACATTGCACTGATATACCTTACAGTTCTTTCCTATATAAACAGTGTCAGGGACTAACACTTCATGTGAAACCCAAAGAAATTAGACTTTACTCATGTAGGGCAATTAGAATTGGTAGCAAGTCAGGTACTGTGGTGCACACCTGTAATCCCAGTGGCTCGGGAAGCTGAGGCAGGAGGATTGCAAGTTCAAAACCAGCCTCAGCAAAAGTGAGGCCCTAAGCAACTCAGTGAGACCCTGTCTCTAAATAAAATACAAAATAGGGCTGGGGATGTGGCTCAGTGGTCAAGTGTCCCTGAGTTCAATTGTTGGTACCCCTCCCTCAAAAAGAACTGGTAGCAAAATAACTAAATAGGGCAGTAGAAGAGAAAGCTCCAGGCAAAAAACCTTCACAAAACCATACATAGGCATATGGTCCAGGGATTCTTTTTTTTTTTTTTTTTTTTTTTTTTTTTTTTTTTTTTTAATTTTTTATTGTGGGTTGTTCAAAACATTACAAATTTCTTGACATATCATATTCCACACTTTGATTCTAGTGGGTTATGAACTCCCACCTTCACCCCATACACAGATTGCAGATTCACATCAGTTACACATCCATTGATTTACAAATTGCCATACTAGTGTCTGTTGTGCTCCGCTGCCTTTCCCATCATCCACCCTCCCCCCTCCCCACCTCTCCCCTCCCCTCCCCTCCTCTCTCTCTACCCCCTCCACTGTATAACCCTGAGGGTCTCCTTCCATTACCGTGCAATTTACCTTCTCTCTCCCTTTCCCTCCCACCTCTCATCCCTGTTAAATGTTAATCTTCTTCTCCTGTTCTTCGTCCCTACTCTGTTCTTAGTTACTTTCCTTATATCAAAGAAGACATTTGGCATTTGTTTTTTAGGGATTGGCTAGCTTCACTTAGCATAATCTGCTCTAATGCCATCCATTTCCCTGTAAATTCTATGATTTTGTCATTTTTTAATGCAGAGTAATACTCCATTGTGTATAAATGCCACATTTTTTTTATCCATTCGTCTATTGAAGGGCATCTAGGTTGGTTCCACAGTCTTGCTATTGTGAACTGTGCTGCTATGAACATCGATGTAGCAGTGTCCCTGTAGCATGCTCTTTTTAGGTCTTTAGGGAATAGACCAAGAAGGGGAATAGCTGGGTCAAATGGTGGCTCCATTCCCAGCTTTCCAAGAAATCTCCATACTGCTTTCCAAATTGGCCGCACCAATCTGCAGTCCCACCAGCAATGTACAAGTGTACCCTTTTCCCCACATCCTCGCCAGCACTTGTTGTTGTTTGACTTCCTAATGGCTGCCAATCTTACTGGAGTGAGATGGTATCTTAGGGTGGTTTTGATTTGCATTTCTCTGACAGCTAGAGATGTTGAGCATTTTTTCATGTACTTGTTGATTGACTGTATGTCCTCCTCTGTGAAGTGTCTGTTCAGGTCCTTGGCCCATTTGTTGATTGGGTTGTTTGTTCTCTTATTGTCTAATTTTTTGAGTTCTTTGTATACTCTGGATATTAGGGCTCTATCTGAAGTGTGAGGAGTAAAGATTTGTTCCCAGGATGTAGGCTCTCTATTTACCTCTCTTATTGTATCTTTTGCTGAGAAAAAACTTTTTAGTTTGAGTAAGTCCCATTTGTTGATTCTAGTTATTAACTTTTGTGCTATGGGTGTCCTATTGAGGAATTTGGAGCCCGACCCCACCGACTGTAGATCGTAGCCAACTTTTTCTTCTATCAGACGGCGCGTCTCTGATTTGATATCAAGTTCCTTGATCCATTTTGAATTCACTTTTGTGCATGGCGAGAGAAAGGGATTCAGTTTCATTTTGTTGCATATGGATTTCCAGTTTTCCCAGCACCATTTGTTGAAGATGCTATCCTTCCTCCATTGCATGCTTTTAGCCCCTTTATCAAATATAAGATAGTTGTAGTTTTGTGGATTGGTTTCTGTGTCCTCTATTCTGTACCATTGGTCCACACGCCTGTTTTGGTACCAGTACCATGCTGTTTTTGTTACTATTGCTCTGTAGTATAGTTTGAAGTCTGGTATCGCTATACCGCCTGATTCACACTTCTTGCTTAGCATTGTTTTTGCTATTCTGGGTCTTTTATTTTTCCATATGAATTTCATGATTGCTTTCTCTATTTCTACAAGAAATGCCATTGGGATTTTGATTGGCATTGCATTAAACCTATAGAGAACTTTTGGTAATATCGCCATTTTGATGATGTTAGTTCTGCCTATCCATGAACAGGGTATATTTTTCCATCTTCTAAGATCTTCTTCTATTTCTCTCTTTAGGGTTCTGTAGTTTTCATTGTATAAGTCTTTCACCTCTTTTGTTAGGTTGATTCCCAAGTATTTTATTTTTTTTGAAGATATTTTGAATGGAGTGGTTGTCCTCATTTCCATTTCAGAGGATTTGTCGCTGATATACAGGAATGCCTTTGATTTATGTGTGTTGATTTTAAATCCTGCCACTTTGCTGAATTCATTTATTAGCTCTAATAGTTTCTTTGTAGAGCCTTTTGGGTCTGCTAGATATAGAATCATATCATCTGCAAATAGTGATAATTTAATTTCTTCTTTTCCTATTTTTATGCCTTTAATTTCTTTCGTCCGTCTAATTGCTCTGGCCAGTGTTTCGAGAACTATGTTGAAGAGAAGTGGAGAGAGAGGGCATCCCTGTCTTGTTCCAGATTTTAGAGGGAATGCCTTCAGTTTTTCTCCATTCAGAATAATGCTAGCCTGAGGCTTAGCATAGATTGCTTTTACAATATTGAGGTATGTTCCTGTTATCTCCAGGGATTCTTAATACACAAAATATTTGAAGAGAAAGGAAGAGCAAAGTTTTCCTTAAAGGAAGAACCAGAGAAAGTACATGAGATGGTTAATATCATTTAATGTTTGGTAGGAGAAATATAATTAATGAGTATTTAAATATTATTAAAATTTTAATATTTATTTAAACATTTAAATATTATTAAAATTGTCAGTTTGTCATTGATAACTGATTATATATTTTTATTGACTATTTTAATGACAAATTTTCATAGAAAAATAAACCTGATTCAGTTGTGCAGTATAAATGTAGTCTTATTGATAATCCAGCTGCTCAAATGATTACAATTCACAATCAGCCACTACCTAACGGCAGAAAATAGAATTTCAAGCCTAGCAGCTAGTTAAAAATAAGCAGCCCAGATAAAATTCTTTAAAAAGGCAATTTAAAAATAAACATATGGTCCATTTATTGGTTGGGTCATTTGGTTTTTTTGGTGTTAAGATTTTTGAGATCTTTATAGATCCTAGAGATTTATGCTTTATCTGATGTGCATGTGGTAAAAATTTGCTCCCATTCTGTAGGCTCTCTATTCACCTCACTGATTGTTTCTTTTGCTGAGAAGAAGGTTTTTAGTTTGAATACATCCCATTTATTGATCCTTGATTTTAATTCTTGCTCTATAGGAATCTTAATAAGGAAGTTGGGGCCTAATCTAGCATGATGGAGATTTGGGCCTACTTTTTCTTCCATTAGGTGCGGGCCAAGGAACTGAACAGACACTTCTCAGAAGAGGATATACAATCAATCAACAAATATGAAAAAATGTTCAACATTTTTAGTACTTAGAGAAATGCAAATCAAAACTACTCTAAGATTTCATCTCACGCCAGTCAGAATGGCAGCTATTAAGAACACAAACAACAGTAAGTGTTGGTGAGGATGTGGGGAAAAAGGTACACTCATACATTGTTGGTGGGACTGCAAATTAGTGCAGCCAATATGGAAAGCAGTTTGGAGATTCCTTGGAAAACTGGGAATGGAACCACCATTTGACCCAGCTATCCCACTCCTTGGTTTATACCCAAAGGACTTAAAAACAGAATACTACAGGGACACAGACACATCAATGTTTATAGTAGCTCAATTCACATTAGCTAAATTGTGCAACCAACCTAGATGTCCTTCAGTAGATGAATGGATAAAGAAAATGTGGTATATTACACAATGGAATATTACTCTGCATTAAAAGAGAATAAAATTATATCATTTGCAGGTAAATGGATGAAATTGGAGAATATTATGCTAAGTGAAGTAAGCCAATCCCAAAAAAACAAATGCCAAATGTCTTCTCTGATATGAGGATTTTGATCCACAATGGGGATGGGGGGAGCATGGGAGGAAACGTTAGATAGGCAAAGGGGAGGGAGGGGAAGGGAGGGGGCATGAGAAAGACAGTCAAATGAGATGGACATCATTACCTTAAGACACAAATGGTGTGACTGTACTTTGTGTACAACCAGAGACATAAAAAATTGTGCTCTATGTGTGTAATATAAATTGAAATGCATTCTGTTGTCATATATAAATAAATTAATTAATTAAAAAAATAAACACATGGGGAGGAGGGAAGAGAAGGAGATAGTACTAGAGAGTGGAATGGAGAAAACTATGCTATATGCATTTACAAATATGTCAATGTGAACCCCATTATTATGTATAGGTATGATGTAGGAGGGGGCATGGGGTAATTAATGATGGTTAAATGTGATGATCATTATTATCCAAAGTACATGTATGAAGACACAAATTGGTGTGAGTATACTATGTCTATAACCAGAGACATGAAAAATTGAGCTCTATATATGTAATAAGAATTGTAATGCATTCTGCTGTCATATATAAATTAAATAAATAAATAAACAAAACAATTATAATTAAAAATAAATATGTGGGCTGGCAGTGTAGGTCAGTGCTTTAGGTTTGATCCCCAGCACACTACACAAAAATGGAAGAGATATGCATCCTACAAAATGTCAACAAATAACTAAAGTAATGCTTTTACAATTCCTCTTTCTCATTTTGTGGTATTTAAAATATATTCAACCAGACACCTGTAATCCCAGTGTCTCAGCAGGCTGAGGCAGGAGGCCCTCATGTTTGAGGCCAGTCTCAACAACTTAGAGAGGGTCTAAGCAACTTTAAAAATAGCTGGGGATGTAGTTCATTGGTAAAAAGCCCGTGGGTTCAATCCCCAGTACTAAATATCCAAATATAGAAATACATTCACATAAATATTCATATAGATCACTACAGCTGAATCAACCACTGTTGAGAGCCACAGCCGAAGGGGCCCCAGCAAACTTCCAGCTGCCAGCAAACTTCCAGCTGCCGGCTGCTGATTGGCTCACAGCGGCCCCAGCAACATCTAGCTGATTGGCTCCTCTGCGGTGATGCTCATTGGGCTGTTTCCCTGCCCTTTCAGACCACGGAGCTGCTCATTGGGGGACTTTTTTGGCTCTGCCCACGTGACCCAGCCAATTGGCCTCAAGAGCAGGAGGATTGTGGGAGGTGGGGAGAAGCTTGTGGGAGAGAGAGAGGCTTGTGGAAAGCCGGTGGTGGCAGTTGAGGCTCTGAGGATTTTTCCTGACAGGCTGTTTTGTTTGGTGTGTGTGGTTCTAAAAATAAAGTTAGTTTCTTTTGACAAGTGGCTCCTGATTGTGCCCAGCCAGACTGCGGCATTTTGCCTAGCCGTCTCCTTGCAAAATTCCTCATTGGCAACCTTCCATAACAGGTATTGTCCTCCATTTAGCACAGCTTTACACATATTAGCCCAATCTGCTGGCGTCATGTTCAAGTTGTTAATGGATTCGACCATGCTTACAGTGAAGGGTGCTTAAGGACCATAGGTTGTTACAGCCTCTTTTAGCTGCTTCACTGTTTTGAAATTTAAAACATGGTAAAATCGCTGCCCTCCTGCCTCAAATACAGGGCATGTTAATATTTGAGATCTTGTCTCAGGATCCCAACTATCAACTGCGGGGGTTGGGGACCTCCCAGCATATGGAGGTGGCCTTGTTAGTTGGACACTTACATCCTCTGGTGATAGAAAGGTGTTAGTAGCAGTCTCCTGTAGAGGTGGTGCTGTTGGTTGGACACTTACACCCTCTGGTGATAGAAAGGTGTTAGTAGCAGTCTCCTGTTGTAACTTTCCCCCTGATGGCTTTTTCTGTTTTACACTTTCTTTCTCTGTCTGACTAGCTTGAGAGGCCTTCTCTTTTACTTGAATCTTTTCCTCTGACTAACTTGAGAGACCTTCTCTTTTACTTGAATCAATATGTCTTCTCCTTCCTCTACCATTGTCTGAACTGAAGGCTTTGGACTAAGCAAACAAGATACGAATGTCCACAATGGCAATGTGCCAACTGGCAGAGTCCCTGGGCTTTTCTTTTCTATTCTTTTTAAATCTTCACCATGATGGTTCCATTGTGATATATTTAACAACTCCTCCTTAAAAAGCCATGGGCTACATTTTTGTATTGTATCAACGTATGCCCTGACTGTTCTTGATTTTACTGAGATGCCTCCTTCCTCTAACAATTTACTTAACACTCTTTCAGTTTGTTTTTTACTAATTTTTGATCCCGTATTTCTATATAATACAACCCAACAAGATGACGCCAAACAAAACCGAGACAGAATGAAATAAAAAGGGAACAACAAAAAGTCATTATAGCCTTTCTATCCTCCTGACATGTGCATCCGTCCTTTCTCCCTATCTGTTCCTCAGATGTAAATAGTTTTTCCTCAGATGTGAGCGGTTTTTCTTCCGTCTCACTCATCTCCAGGGACAGGCAACTTAAAACAAAAGTGAAGCAAAATAAAAGAGGAATCTTAAAATGGCTACCCATCCTCTCGCCCTGCCCTCAGGGGCGAGCAGTTTCACTTACCCTCAGTCGCTCCCCGTGCGAGCCACCAAATGCTGCAGTCTGGCTGGGCACAATCAGGAGCCACTTGTCAAAAGAAACTAACTTTATTTTTAGAACCACACACACCAAACAAAACAGCCTGTCAGGAAAAATCCTCAGAGCCTCAACTGCCACCACCGGCTTTCCACAAGCCTCTCTCTCTCCCACAAGCTTCTCCCCACCTCCCACAATCCTCCTGCTCTTGAGGCCGATTGGCTGGGTCATGTGGGCGGAGCCAAAAAAGTCCCCCAATGAGCAGCTCCGTGGTCTGAAAGGGCAGGGAAACAGCCCAATGAGCATCACCGCAGAGGAGCCAATCAGCTAGATGTTGCTGGGGCCGCTGTGAGCCAATCAGCAGCCAGCAGCTGGAAGTTTGCTGGCAGCTGGAAGTTTGCTGGGGCCCCTTCGGCTGTGGCTCTCAACATCTAGAGAAGAGAAGGTCCATTATTATACAGGGGGGCCCAATGCTCCGGGGCCCAAAACCACAAATATACGGAGCACTGGAGGAACCCAGCAACCCCATCAGGGTAGTGCCCAGGACACATTGTCCATCAGATCCCTCATCAGACAAACCAGAGGGAGCGCAGGGTTGGACATCTGCGCCTCCGCCAGAGCAGTACTAACTCCAGAGATGGGAGTTCAAATCATTCCCACAGGGGTGAAAGGACCTCTTCCCAAAGGAACAGTAGGCTTATTATTGGGACGCAGCTCTTCTACTCTAAAAGGACTTATGATAAGTCCTGGGGTAATTGATCCCGATTATGAAGGTGAAATAAAAATTATAGCCAGTTCTCCAAAGGGTATATCAGTAATTTCACCAGGAGATAGAATAACACAGTTACTAATAATACCCAGCCTACATGATAAATTTTCCAGTCGTACTGTAGAAAGAGGTTCCAAGGGATTAGGCTCCACAGGTGTAGATTGGGCTATGCTTTCTTTAAATTTAGATTCTCGCCCCATGCTAAAACTAAATATTCAAGGACATGAATTTAATGGGCTACTGGATACAGGTGCAGACCTTAGCATCATATCTCGTCAAGAATGGCCAAAACATTGGCCATTACAACAAGCCACTCAAACGCTTCGAGGCCTAGGAGTGGCAACTAATCCCCATAGAAGTGCAATGGTATTAGATTGGAAGGATCCTGAAGGATGTGAAGGAATTATACAGCCATATGTATTGGATCATCTTCCCGTAAATTTATGGGGACGAGATGTCCTAGATCAATTAGGTTTGACATTAACAAATAACATCAACTAAAATGCACCCACTATTATGACTAGACAAGGTTTTAGGAAAGGAAAAAGATTAGAAAAACAAGAACAAGGTATAGCAGCACCAATACAAATAGATCAAGGAACAGACAGACATGGGTTGGATTTTCAGAAAGGGCCACTGAGACAATAAAAATTACTTGGAAATCAGAAAGACCAGTATGGGTTCCTCAGTGGCCACTGACTAAAGAAAAGATACAAGCAGCCCATGACCTGGTCAAACAACAATTAGCGGAAGGACATATACAACCTTCTGTATCTCCCCATAATACTCCCATTTTTGTCATCAAAAAGAAATCTGGTAAATGGAGATTATTGCAAGATTTAAGAGCCATTAATAATGAGATGGTTATTATGGGACCTGCTCAATCAGGGATTCCTCAATTGTCTGCTTTGCCAAAAACCTGGTATGTTTTAGTTATAGATATTAAAGATTGTTTTTTTTTTTTTCAATTCCAATTCATCCTGAGGATAGTCCACGTTTTGCATTTACTATCCCTGCACTGAATCATGAAGGTCCTGATCAGAGATATGAATGGAAAGTACTCCCTCAAGGGATGGCTAACAGCCCAACTATGTGTCAAATTTATGTTAACAAAGTAATCCAGCCACTTAGAAATCAAAATCCTGAACTACAAATATTTCACTATATGGATGATGTATTATTAGCACACAAAGATAAAAACACATTGCTAGAATGTTATGCCACACTTACAAACTTATTAAAAAATTATAATCTAGAGATAGCAACAGATAAAGTACAATTAAATTTTCCAATTAATTATTTAGGAGTTCTATTATCCTCAACCATGGTCCGTCCACCAAAAATTCAAATACGAGTAGATCAACTCAAATCACTTAATGACTTTCAAAAGTTATTAGGAGACATAAATTGGATAAGGCCTTATTTAGGTATACCAACAGGAGAGTTGGGACCTTTATTTGATATCCTAAAAGGTCCATCAGATTCAAATTCACCCTGAATGTTAACGCCTGAAGCAAGAAAGGCATTAAAAATCATTGAAACATATATGGAAAATATGCATTTGGATAGAATTGATATAAGTTTGCCTTTATTATTTATTGTACTACCAACAAAAAATATTCCTACAGGAGTATTTTGGCAAGAAGGTCCATTATTATGGATACATTTATCTTATTCTCCTAACACTATTCTTACTAGGTATCCTGAGGCTGTAGGACAATTAATACTCAAAGGAATAAAAGCAGCAAAGGGAGTGTTTGGAATTTCTCCCAATAAAATTATTACTCCATATACTATGAATCAAATTGATGAGTTAGCTAATGAGTTAAATACTTGGGCAATAATCATGTGCAAATCTAATGTTTCATTTGATAAACACTTACCATCTAATCCTTTATTGTCTTTTTGGTCATTGCATCCTGTAATTTTTCCAAAAAATGACAAGAAAAACACCTATCATGAATGCTCCAAATATATTCACTGATGGGTCAAATAATAGTACAGCAGCAGTAGTTACCCCTGATCAAACTTTTACATTTTTAGTACCCAAACAATCAGCTCAAAAGGTAGAGCTTAATGCAGTTTTATAAGCTTTTGTGATGTTTAAAGATTCTGTATTTAATTTATTTTCTGATAGTCAGTATGTAGTTAATGCTATAGTATCTCTTGAAGATGCTGGTAGGATTTCCCCTTCTTCTACTGTTTTCTCTTTGCTTTCCACTATACAAAGTCTAATCTGGGACAGAAAAGATCCATTCTTTATTGGACATATCAGGGCACATACAGGATTGCCTGGAGCCCTTAGTTTGGGCAATGATTTAGCAGATAAAACTACACATGACATACATATTTTCTCTACACTAGAAGAAGCTATAAATTTTCATAAAAAGTTCCATGTCAATGCTAATACTTTACAAAAGCATTTTAAAATAACTAAGGAACAAGCTAGACAAATAATAAAACAATGTCAAAATTGTGTGACCTTTTTACCACAAGTTAATCTTGGAGTCAATCCTAGAGGATTGATACCTAACCATATTTGGCAGATGGACGTCACACACTTACCAGAATTTGGAAAATTAAAACATTTGCATGTTACAGTTGATACTTCTTCTGGATTTTTGATGGGCTCCCTTCATGCCGGAGAAAAAACTAAAGATGTTATAGCTCATTGCTTACAAAATTTTGCCACTGTGGGTGTTCCAAAACAGTTAAAAACAGATAATGCCCCTGGTTATACTTCTACCTCTTTTAAACAATTTTGCTCAACATTTGGCATTACTCATATAACAGGAATCCCATACAATCCACAGGGACAAGGCATAGTTGAAAGAGCTCATCAAACTATTAAAATGTACTTATTAAAGCAAAAAGAAGGAATTGGGAAGGGGTATATATTCCCCAAAGATAAACTTAAAATAACCCTTTTTACTCTAAACTTTTTAAATTTGGATTCATCAGGACTTAGTGCTGCGGAAACGCATATGTGTCCAAAAAATGTGCATAAGCCCAAGGTACTTTGGAAGGATATTCTAACAGGACAATGGAAAGGTCCTGACCCAGTAATTGTCTGGAGTCGGGGGTCTGTTTGTGTGTTTCCACAGGGAGAATAGCAGCCGATTTGGATTACAGAGAGATTAACCAAGGTCCTGACCCAGTGATTGTCTGGAGTCCGGGGTCTGTTTATGTGTTTCCACAGGGAGAACAGCAGCCGATTTGGATTCCAGAAAGATTAACTAAAGCCATTTCTACAGACCAAAAAGAAGATGATTTGGCTCAAATCCATAACAACTGATATCCAAAACTCCAGTTTGGCTATTCTTACATCTGCAACAGAACCAGGATGCTTTTTTCAATATCTATTTTATTATTGCCCTTTGCCATATCATGAAGTTCTATTTTGTTTTTTGAGCTCATACAGACCTAGGTTAATGTTTTGCTGATCAGTTCTATTTTTTGACTATAGAGTTTTTAAACATTGCAATGGAGATTTCACCTGTAAAAAGTTATAAGGCCTTTACTATAATGTTATGTGTTGTATGTATTATATGTGCGCACACTTGTGTTTTGTGTTATATGTTTGAATGTACGTATGTCCATATATCATATATGATGAGCGCTCATGATAAAATGGATCCAAATATTTTTTTTTCACGTGATTTATATGGTTTAATTTAAATTGGGTAAACAACTGTTGAGGATTGTTTTAATATGTAAACAAAAAAGAAGGTTAACAGATCTGTTTGTTTACTTTCACCTTTCCTTTTCATTATATTTAATAATTCTCTTAAAGATAATGTAAATTGTTAAGAAAATTGTTTTCTTTTAGTGCCTTCTGTAATGTTACATAATTTTTTCTTTAGCCATTATTGCCAGAATTCCTATCTTCATCCCAGTGCCGGTGAAGACAATGTAAATTGTTAAGAAAATTGTTTTCTTTTAGTGCCTTCTGTAATGTTACATAATTTTTGCTTTAGCCATTATTGCCAGAATTCCTATCTTCATCCCAGTGCTGGTGAAGTCAAAGATAAAACCAATCTACAGCTTCTACAATAGCCATCACTGAACTGCTTGCAGAACTTGCCTGGACACATTGTGAGCTCACCTGTATGCATTGTGAACTATCTGTTGGTGCAGCGACTTGTGGTAGTGTTGGGGTATTTTTGCTGATGATGTCATTGGTGGTACAATTTTTCCAAAAGGAGCAGTCAATTGGCCTGGTGTATCTTCCTCCCTTCTGCTTGTCATGATCGTCCAGCTAAAATTTGGGGGCCAACAGAGGTGAGGCAAAGAACCTCACCCCCCCGCTGGTACAAAGACCTCTCCACAGGTGTGGCTGTATACTGGACCGGTAGTCAGTGACGGGTAAGATCCAATTGCAATGGTACCAACCTAAGGACCATATGTACTATTGGACAACCTAAGGCAGGCACGGTCCCTAAGCCACATGCTTGTTGTTTAATCAGAGAGGGGGAGATGTTGAGAGCCACAGCCGAAGGGGCCCCAGCAAACTTCCAGCTGCCAGCAAACTTCCAGCTGCTGGCTGCTGATTGGCTCACAGCGGCCCCAGCAACATCTAGCTGATTGGCTCCTCTGCGGTGATGCTCATTGGGCTGTTTCCCTGCCCTTTCAGACCACGGAGCTGCTCATTGGGGGACTTTTTTGGCTCCGCCCACGTGACCCAGCCAATCGGCCTCAAGAGCAGGAGGATTGTGGGAGGTGGGGGGAAGCTTGTGGGAGAGAGAGAGGCTTGTGGAAAGCCAGTGGTGGCAGTTGAGGCTCTGAGGATTTTTCTTGAGAGGCTGTTTTGTTTGGCGTGTGTGGTTCTAAAAATAAAGTTAGTTTCTTTTGACAAGTGGCTCCTGATTGTGCCCAGCCAGACTGCGGCAAACCACATAGATAGAAATCCTACCAATGGGTATGATATAGAAGATGAGTGGGTTTCAGACTCATAATCAAACAAACATGATGCACATAGGTACCAAAGCTAAGACAAATTAAGTCATCACTGTATCTACAAAAGGTTGGCTGCATTTTTTTAAGGGTAATAGAATAATGTGGTATGAAATAAACATGAGAAATGGATACATGAGAATAAATAGGTTTTTTCATCAGTTTTATGAAAAGATAAAGTATACTATTGCCTGAAATCAATAGACACATAAGATGGATATAATTAATGAAAATCCTGGGAGTAAAAATATGATCCTACAATGTAATTTCAAAGTTAATTTTTTTTTCCAGAAGGCTAAGCCAAAATCAAGAAAATCAACTCTTCACAATTGTAAAGGTTCATAAAATAGAGAGGACCTTTCAATTTGCACATCTGGTGGGAACCCTTAAGTGAGACTTAAAACCTCAGAGAAGCATTAATTCCAAATGGAACTTCTTTGCTAGGTTATTCATGCCACTAGAAAAATCAGGAAGACCATTATTGTTAAGTGGAATGGTACTGTATCAACTAAAGCTGGAATCACAAAAAGAGATGTCCTATTGTATTATGCTGTCCAAATATATTTGTTATGCTAAGCAGAGGTAAGAAGAGCATGTTTTCAAAAATATCTGATGTAATAGAAATATCACTTTTTTAAAGCAGATGAGGCAGAAGTGCCAACACAGAATTCAAGACGGTAAGGGTAAGGAGTGCTGCATGAAAAAGGGGACAAAATAGACTTTTCAGTGCTGAGTACATAGTAGGTTTTCAAAAATATGTTAGCACAAATATTCAATTCTAATATGAAGCCTATGAAAATATCTCCCTCTGGTAAATCACGTTGTGTCATATAAATTTGCACATAGCAAACTCTGTATAGCGCATACCTTATAAGGCACTATGTATTTGGTTATAGTAGTGGTAATGCTTTTAACTAAATTACAATATGTGTTTCTCATTACATTGTGACTGCCACAAATCTTAACTGTAAAAGTTATGGGTTTGACGAAAATGCATGTGGTTATACCCTAAGCACATATAAGCAACATTTCCATTTGTATAGTATTCTATCCCCATTTATAAGGCAGGATATTGTGAACAGTCAAAAATGCAAAGCACTTGAAAATCCCCATATGCAAAAGAAAATCCACATAAGCAAGATGTTATTGATATTTCAAAAAACTTTCTTTGGTTAAACAGAACTCAAAAAGTTTTAGTGTTCTAAATCTTTATTCTTTGAGTCTACACTTCTATTTATGAAAAATGCACAAATATTCTGGAATATTTATGATATTGATTAGTGAAAAATCATTTTACCTCAAAATACAAATGTGTATTTATGAAAAAACTAAAAGATGTTTTTAAAAAGTCCCCAAAAGATGCAAATTTTCAATAGTGACACCACCTCATTTTAGATTCTTCTTCAACAGGCTTCCTTATGCTATTTCCGTGAGATATCTAATAATTCTTCAATCACATTTTATTTAAAAAGAGATAGATGATTAATGTTCCATATTCTTTCACTCTACAATTTCTATAATGTGGGTAGTGTTTTCACAGAAATCAGATACAGGTTGATCATTCCTTATCCAAAAATTCAAATTCAGAAATGCTCCAAGCATCTGAAACCTTCTAGGTGCCAATATGATAACAAGTGAGAAATTTCACATCATCAAGTTTTGTTTCATGTACAAAATTATTAAAAATAGGATACAAAATTAACTTCAGGCTATGTGTATAATGTGAACATGAAACATAAATTAATTACATGTTAAACTGAGGTCTTATTCTCAAGATATGATATTTTCAAATCCTCCATACTTCTAGTCACAAACACTCTGAACAAGGCATATTCAATCTGTACCACTTTAAAATGCTGACACTGGCCCCCAAATAATTTTGTTGATACCCAAGTTTCTATGCCAAATAATTTTTTATTAATATTATAGGCCCATCAAAACCTTCAAAAGTCACAAAAGGTCTTATTTCATTAACACCTCATTTACCAGAAAACTGTCAGGAAAAGAGGGTATCAATAGAAATGAAATTTCAAAAAACAAAACCTTTATCTATCAATAGTTGCCTTTTAATACTCTGGGTAGAAATATCTCTGAAATGCTTTGTAAAACTATATTTTTCCACTTAGATACAGGACAGTGTCAAAAATTTAAATTTTGTTGATAATTCTAGGTCATCATTAGAAATAAATATATCTTTTTTTAAAGACAGAGAGAGAGAGAGAAAACTTTTTTAATATCTATTTTTTTTAGTTTTCGGCGGACACAACATCTTTGTTTGTATGTGGTGCTGAGGATCAAACCCTGGCTGCACGCATGCCAGGCGAGTGCGCTACTGCTTGAGCCACATCCCCAGCCCAAATAAATATATCTTGAAGGCCTGAGCATTTGGAGTCTTCATGTCTACTTTTTGCAGTTTGCCCACCATCTGCCTGTCAGCTTTTTAGTAGCTATTACTTTAATGTGCATCTGCCTCTATTAACTGCCCCCCATACCAGTTAAATTGTCTGTGGTTGGCAAAACTAGATTGAAGCCAATAAAATGTAGCAAACAACTGTTAGGTATAAGGTGTTGAATCAAGTGTGTTAGATTTGGGTCTTGAAATACAAACAATATGGGCTCTGGAGTGCTCTTCCTGAGGACCTTTGGGGATTCTCTGAGAGTACAGTTTAAAAGCTTCAAGGACCTGGCTTTCATGAACTCTAAAGTGTCTGGTATAAGCTGAGATCTGGAAGTAGTGTCTCATCTCTTTGAGATACAACTCTTCTTTCATAATCCTAGCTGACATTTAGGAAAAAATCAGGGGAAAACAGTTCATGAAAAGAGTGAAGGTTCCAGAGCTCCAATGGCATGGGTTGACTTCAGTATAGGCTGTGAACCAGGGATGATATTCAAAATTATTGAACAACACTTACAGAACAGTCATTTGCCAATCAGTACTGATGTGCTTCTGCCAGGTATCACCATTTTTGTGGCTGAATTAAGGGGATGTCTCAGAGTGAGCAGTAGAAAGAGTAATGTTGTAGTTTGGATATGAAATGACCCTCAACGATTCATGCATCCTCCTTGCTCTTCTTCCCCCCCGCCCTTTTTTTCTTTTTTTAGTGCTGAAGATGGAACCCACAGCTTCATGCATGCTAGGTTAGGTACTCTTTCATGGCACTAAACTCCTAGCCACTATTTAAGGAAACTTCTCATTAAATGTCAATAACTATCATACATATGCAAAATATAATTAACTCATTTTCTTATTGGTACTAAGGAAGTGTTCTTGGTGGGCACAATATTAAGATGAAATTTTTCCTGTATTTTTATTGGTGCATTATAATTATACATAACGGTGGGATTCATTATTACATATTCATACATGTCTATGATATCACAATACAATTTGGTCAATATAATTCCCAGTATTTTCCCCTCCCCCAATCCCTTTCCTCTACTCTACAGGTTTCCTTTACATTTTCATGAGATCACCCCACCATATTTCTTCTCCTTTTTCTCTCTAGCTTCTACATATAAGAGAAAATGATGATGGCATTTTTAACACTTGGTCCAATAAAGGCCAAAAGAGCAAAGTGGATCTACCCAGGACCCTGGAGTGAGCTGCACTTAATGTAATATCATGTCCCAAGTGGCTTCCTTTTTCAGTGCCAAACCAGCTCCTTCACTCCTTCATGCCATTTTTACCTGTGCTTAATTCTGAAAAAGATTATATCATTATAGAAAAGATTATGTTATCATTGTACTGGAAATAACAAATGTGAAATAATATGGAAAGATAAAGGTTAACAATAATCTACTAGAAGGCAAAAAAACCCCAGTAACTCAATGTTAATTTGTTATTATTCTAAACTACTTTGTGTCAATGGTTTTGGCCAAGTAAAGCTCCTAAATGCTGCCAAAAACATTCGTCGGCAATAGATGTCTGAAATTCACCACTAAATTTTGGCCCCTTGACAACATACTGGACAAATGTGCTATCTACTGACTAAAAAATGCTCATGTAAATCACAAGGCTGGCAAATAGAATGGCATTAATCCAGTCAAGAAGTATAAATCCAACCTTGTTTTATGCTTTATTTCTTGTAGATTTTAAACTATGCATCAAACATTCCAAAAGTACTGATTTGGGGGCATGATATGCTATGTGAATTACAGAGGTTTTATCAAGCTAACTGATAGGAGACAGGCATGTGATGTCTAAAACTCTGTGGCCATGTAAAGGGCACTTGAAAGCCTAGTTAGCTTTTGGCATGATAAGAGAAGCCTTCAAATCAATCTCCAATGATTTGACTATCATTTAAAGGTGACTTTATATGACTTATGAGTAACATACTAATAAAGCATGAAATTTCATTTGAATACAAAACAACAGCAAATATGTAGTTTATTATGTGCCAGGCACTTTCTTAGCAGTTTCATGTATACTAGTTTATTTACTGCTCATAACAATACTGTGAGGCAAATTCTATTATTTTCCCCATTTTACAGATGAGAAAGCTGTTATGCTGTGAGATTAAATAAATTGGTTATTATCAAGGCCTTGAATACATAAAGAGTCTAATTTCTCCCTATAAAATGAGATTAATCAAAGTTATATTAAGATATGAAATGATTTCTGGAAGTGCCAAGAAATGTTAATTACAGCTCTAGTTGTTTTATTTATAAATAAAATGTCTAATTGCCTTGTATTGGTAGATTTGATGTCAAAATACATGGGCATTTCGATTATTGGAAAAATACAGTTTAACTTCATTGTTTTAGCAAATTGTGACTGTCTTATTATTGGATGTGTTCAACTGTAGGGAAGAATGCCTCGATGTATATCAATCAAGTGAATGAACCAGATCCAGACATAGAACTATGATCAAGGTTTCAGCCTTCCCATCAAATATGTTAACACCTGTCACTCTGTAGTGGAACTGGTGTATAGCTGTCTGCCTGACCATGAGCTCCTGGGACACCTTATTCATCTCCAGTGTCTGTCTCAATACCTCATATTAGTAAGTTCTCAACAAATACTTGTTAAAGCAATGGAAGTCGTGGTCACTGGTATATGGAAAGTATTGTGCTAGATGTGGGGAAAGCCAAGATTTCAGCCAGAAAAAGGGAGGAATTCCACTAAAATAGAAGAGAGATCAGTGGAGTAGAGGAAGGGAATTGAGAGGGAGGGAGGAGGATGGGAAAAGGGAAGAAGAGTGGAATGCATCTGCATTATGCATGGCAAAGCATAGTGGGACCAAAGAGGGAAGCACCTCTAAGAATGGAAATGGTCAATATAGAACTTCATGTAAGAAGTCAATTTTTTGTGAGGGTGTGGGGGAAAAGGTGCACTCATACATTGTTGATGGGACTGAAAATTGGTGCGACCTCGGGAAAGCAGTATGGGGATTCCTCAAAACACTAGGAATGGAACCACCATATGACCCAGCTATCCCACTTATTGGTATTTTCCCAAAAGATTTAGATCAGCATACTATATGGATATAGCCACTTCAATGTTTAAAACTGCAAAATTCACAATAGACAAATTATGGACTCAGCCTAGATGCCTGTCAATAAATGGATTAAGAAATCTGGTATATATATATATACACACACACACACACTGGAATATTACTCAGCCATAAGAAGAATGAAATTATGTCGTTTGCTGGTAAATGAATGGAACTGGAGAAAATCATGCTAAATGAAACAAGCCAGATCCATAAAGTCAAAGTTTTCTCTGATATGCAGAAGCCAGTCCAAAACAAGGCAGAAAAAGAAAAGAAAAAGGGAGGAATTCCACTAACATAGAAGAGAGATCAGTGGAGTTGAGGAAGGGAACCGAGAGGGAGGGAGGAGGATGGGAAAAGGTAAGAACAGTGGAATGCATCTGTTCTAACTTCCTATGTGCATATATGAATATACCACAGTGGATGTCACCTTTTTGAGTAAATAA